CAAGTATAAACTTTTTAAGTATGACAATACATATTAATTAAGAATCAAGTGTAGTACAATCCAGAACAAAAATAAAAAAAAAAAATTATAAAACTTTACCAATATACTGAAAGTTTTTTTATCATATAAAGGAATTCAAATCAAGACTATAGAAAAAAGCAAATGGACAATATTTTATTTTCAAAAGCTTAATAATATGCTTAAATGCAAACAAGAGCTTATAGCTACTTAGCTTCAAATAACAGTTGTAACAAATATTTCTAGTAAAAAAAAATCAAGTTATTGTATATTTCTATTTTTGAAAATAAGAACAACACTATACTAATTATACAAGAAACAAAAGTCAATATAATGGATATATCTTTTAACTTCTCAACTAATAGATTAAAAAAAGCAATATTCAAATATGGATTTATTTTAAAGATATAATCTGAAAAAGAAAACAATAAATTTAAATTAATAATCTAATATTTTTAATACTTTTATTGAACTTGAAAGAAACCTGGATAATATTTATAGAAATAACAATAAATAAAATAACATTATATTCAAATTATATAGAAGTCCTAAACTATACAACTTTATTATTACTAGACTATATAGATTAAATAAAAATATTTCAATTATTAGAGTTATAAATATAGTCAAACATATTAATACTAAAACTGTATATACTGTATATTAGTAAATAGCAAAATCAGAAAGAAAAAAAGTTTCACAATCCTGAATTTCTTCAATATAAAAAATATAAACAAAGTCTTAAGATTATATATAAAACTTTTTAGAAGTAAAATCTGATAAAGTACTAAAAACAACATAAGAATTACTATAAAGATTAATAATAAGATTTAATAAGAATAATAAAAAAGATCTATAAATACAAAAAACTTTGAGTTTAAAACAGAAAATATAATAAATATTATTTTAGAAAAAGAATTAATCAAGCAAAAAAATAGTTAATTCAAGAAAGACAAAACTCCAAATAATATTTACTATAACAAAAAACATCTTAACTCTAATAAAAAAAAAAAAAAACTTCTTGACAATAAATACAAATAATATTGAAAAAAATTAACAACCATTTATACAAATTAAAAAAAGAACATAGCAAAAAGAAAATATCATATTACTATTCTTAAAGATAGATATGTTATTTGAAATTGCAACAATCACTAAAGAACAAAATACAATTCAAATACAATATATATTAATACTATACTCCCATACTTCAATAACAATTGGGATTATAACTGAAACTATTAACATAAAAGAATTTCTATTCTCTCAAAAAATATTATTTTTAGATCACAAAAAAAAAACAATAATATATTAACCTTCATACTTAATATTGATATTTTAATATTCTTAATAACAATAAGCACTTATAATATTAGAGGAATCATATGAAATATAGATTAAGCAAACCTTATAAAAGAACTAATGGAAAGAAAAATTGATATAATAAGCCTTAATAAAACAAAACTCTTCAAGAAAAATCAATATTTTGCTTTTCAAAAACAAATAGAATACAAGTATTTCTTCAGCATAAAATTAAATAATTCTAGAAATATAAGAGTTCTTCTTTTAATCTACAAAAATATTAAAAGATTTATAGTATCAATTGATAAAATTGATAGTTATTTTATAGTAATCAATCTTTTAAACAAAGGCTATAAAACTTATATTATCCAAATATATTTATTAAGTGATAAGAAAAAAAGTTAGACATTACAAAAAAAGATTAAAAACCTATTTTAGACACATTTATAAAAAAATTATAAAGTTATTATAATAGAAGACTTTAATGCAATAATGAATCCAAGTACAGATTGTAAAACAATAAATAATAAAAGAAATATATATAAAAGTAAATTAGAAACTATAATAAAGTAATATCAGGTTTTAAATTCAAATCATGAATTTCAATTAAACCTATGGTTTTGAAAAATAAAATTATATAGACTTACATGGACTCATATATATATAAAAAATATAAGTGAATTATAACCTATCTATTAAGTTTACTATAAAAGTTGGAATCGAATAGAATCAAATACAGAATCATTAGGATATTAATCAAATCAATAACAATAGACAAAATTAACTAGTTTAAAATATATGAAAAACCTTTAAAAAAATTTTAATAATCTTAACTTTTAATTATTTTTATTGTAAAAAAAGAATAGTAAAAGGAACAATCTATCCATAAATCCAAAAAAGAAGTTATTAAAAGAAAAATATATTCTATAGTTTCTATTTAATTATCAAAATAATTTATAATTAGCTAGAATTAAATGATTTAATAATAGACATAACTAAAAAATTAATGCTGTAAGAAAAATACAGAAAAATTAATCAAAATATAACTCCAATTGTATCAATTTTTGAATTAGTTCAAAAAATTTATAGAGTATTAAGAGAAAGATAAGAAGAGATTCAATTTAAAATACAATTTAAAGAAATAGTTAAGATATTAAAGAAAATATATTTAAATGAAGAAAAAAACAAATCAAATCAAAAAATCAAAAAAGCAATTCAAAAAAAATATAGAAATCTTAAAAAAAATCAAAGAAAAGTAGTACAAGAATTAAATAACTTTTATAATAAGATAGTTATAGACTGAATTTATATCTAAAATAATTTGAATAAAGAATATATTTCAATAATAATAAAAAAATTCTGTATTAAACTAAAGTATACTATAAAAAAGTATTCAAAAAACAAAATAATAACTTTAAAATATTAGATAATAATTGGAAAAAGCAATATAAATCCAAAGCTAAAATTAAAAAAAAATATTACAATAATATGAAAATGATATTTCAATAAATGAACTAGAAGAAGTTTTCTAAGATCTACTCAATAACAAAGTAGCTGGACCTAACAAATTAAATATGAGTAGAGCTCCTAACGGTATCACTTCAATATCAGTTCAATATCAATTCGATACTTAAATTTACTATAAATTCATATGAGTGAGTCACAACCCATATATTAAATTTACTATAGATCGGTACCATTTCAATATCACTTTGGTACCGGTTCAGTACTTTTCAAAACTCTAGTATCAACAAGTTATAAAAAACTGAAAAGATAAGACAACAAGTCTGGTTCAGGATTCTCTTGGAAATTAAACTTTTATTCTCATAGATTTTATTATTTACTCGACTTAATTTTAGTTTTAGTTACTTTTATTTTTTTCTTTTCAAATTTCAAAAATATAAATCTTTTTTTTCTAAATAGATAGGTATAGCCACTATTCAATCTTTATTTAATAATTAGTATAGTTTAAAATGTCTTTTTTGTATTAGTTAAATATTATATAAGTAGACAAGCTAGTATTAAACTTATTGTATACTTTTGTACCTAAGAAATGTTGATTCTTTCCAAAAGGTATATTATTATATATATGGAATTAATAAAGAATTGATATTTATCTATTTTAAATATATATATACTGTATATATAAACAGTTTTAATAATGAAAAAAAGTAAAATATTAACAAGAAAAAAAAAAGAAAAACAAAAAATACTTATATAATAATCAATCTATTATATAATTAAATTAATAAGATATAATTAATAGACAAAAGAAATTTCAAATATATAATGAAAACTCATAAAAAACTGATTTGATTAAAAAAAGAATATTATTAACTTTAATTTTTATTATTCATATTATAACAATACTAATGGAGTCTTAATATATTGACTTTAACATATATTCAAAATAAATTAATAGCAACAAATTAATATAATATGATCTAATATACAGTATATCTAAAATATTTAATAGATAGTAATTCTTATAAAAGATATAAATATAAATTAAATAAAATATATTAAGCTAAATCTAGCTAATTGAAAAATAAATAAATAAATAAAAATTTAATAAAAATTTTATATTTAATGCCTGTTTACAAATAATAAATTAATCATATTAATGCTTTTCGAGTTTAAAAATATAAATCATATAAGGCAAGACTATTAACCACAGGTGATGAAAAAATAGACAAAAATCATCAAGCCAAGTAAGTCTATTGAGGATCAAAACAAGGATAATCAGAAATCCAAGTAAGGATACCATGACTACAGGTAATGAAAATGATTGTACTATACTATACTAGTGATATATTCCGAGGACTGGTGATAATAGATAACTAGGATAATTGGAATCAGTCTTTATAATAATATTCTATAGTTCTCAAACTGCAAGCAGCCACAAGATTGTCAAATCAGGACTTAGTAGGAAGGTTGGATTTAAACTAGCAGCAGGACTTCCTATTATTTGAATTTGTTTTACTTAATATATGGATTCCACTTCTATAGTGATAAGTTTGTATAGCTGGGTTAAATAGGTAATAGGAATGGGTTAACTTAAATGAACCTTTGATGTAATTGCAATATTGAATATAAATTCTCAATAAAAATCAGTACATCTAGTACTTTTTACCTTAAAAAAAAAAAAAAAAAAACAAATAATAAATTAATTAAAATATATATTTTAAAAATATATACATTACATAAAATTATTAATTAATTTTAAATTTTTTAAATAAAAAAATTTTTTCAATTATATTAAACAATTTCTTATATTTTAAATATAAATTTATAGCATATATAAGATTACAAGTATATGGTTCAAATATAATATTCAATAAAAACCATGATATTGAATATCTGTTTAACTTAAAAATAAATAAATAAATAAATATAAATTTATTTAAAAATTATTTTTAAAAATATTAATTCTAATTTCAAAATATCAAAAAAATTAAAAAAATTTATTATTTAAATAAATTATTAAAATTTGATTTTCTTAATAAAATTAATTGGTAATTAATTAATTTATTTCAAAATTCTGTGAACTTCAACCGCGCCTCGCCATTTTATTGGCCAAACCTCCGGAAGTTTTAATTGGCCGCAACAAAAATCTAGATAACCGTTTAGTACAGTAGTATTTACTGACATTCACCTTTAAGTGTGATAGAACGTCAAAAATGCAGGCTCCGGTGATTGTTATGAGTATGACTTTTTCGTTCTATCAGTGTTTCATAAATTAAGGTCGTTGCGATCAATAATATGTTGATGTTTTATTTACAAGCCAATAACGATGCAAACATTTTTTAGACACTAATGCGGAAAGAGAGACTGGGCGGAAAGCTCAAGTCTCAAATATTACCGCTGCTAAGGTGTGTCTTGGGAGATTATGAACAGTACGGAAAGATTTAGGATTTTAATTATTAAAAAAAAGCTCCGGTCAATCAATTATTTTGGAACATGACATAATTTATAATAAAAAATAATTAAAAAATACGCGTAAACCGAATTTTGATCAATTTAATTCTTTTGATTTTTTTTAGACTGTTTCTGACATAATTCGTACATGTCTTGGACCTCGCTCAATGCTTAAGATGCTTCTCGATCCGATGGGCGGTGTCGTTCTAACCAATGATGGTAACGCTATACTTCGCGAAGTCGAAGTAGCACACCCCGCTGCAAAAAGTATGATTGAGCTAAGCAGAACACAAGACGAAGAGGTTGGAGACGGTACCACCAGCGTTATTATATTGGGTATGAATTGATAATATTGGATCATTAATTGATAAAAATGCAAGCATCTAAACTTTGTCCAAAAAACTCTTGGAAAAAATAGCTGGTGAAGTTCTAGCGCAGGCATTGCCTTACTTGGAAAGGAATGTTCATCCAATTGTCATTATATCGGCATTCAAAAAAGCTCTCGAAGACGCGATAAAAGTTATCGACGATATTTCTAAGCCAGTCAACGTTGATGATCATGATGAAATGTTAAAGTTGGTGAAAAGCGCTATTGGTACAAAGTTTGTGAGCCGATGGAGTGATATGATGTGTAAATTGGCATTGGATGCGGTGAGAACTGTTGCTAAAGAGGAAGATGGAAAACGTGAAATCGACATTAAAAGATATGCTCGCGTTGAAAAGGTAAATATTAGGTGCATCATATTCCGTACTGATTTTAATATTTAAATAATTATTTACATCATTAGGTTCCTGGTGGTGAAATAGAAGAATCCAGAGTTTTAGATGGTATCATGCTAAACAAGGATGTTACCCATCCTAATATGCGACGAAAGATTGAAAACCCTCGAATAGTTTTATTGGATTGCCCTCTTGAATATAAGAAAGGAGAATCACAGACTGCCGCAGAAATTGTGGATGAAAGTCATTGGAATAGATTATTGCAGATCGAAGAGGAACAAATAAAAGAAATGTGTGACAGGATCATATCATTGAAGCCCGATCTTGTATTCACGGAAAAAGGAGTTTCTGGTAACAAAGTTGACATAAATACAGTGACATAAAAAAATAGAAAATAATTTATTTATTTGTAAAAAAAAAATTTTTTTTTTTTCAAAAAATCAAGATCTCGCACAACATTATTTGGTGAAGGCTAACATTACTGCTATTCGGCGTGTACGTAAAACCGATAATAATCGAATTGCACGTGCTGTCGGTGCAAATATTGTAAATCGACTCGAGGATTTGAAAGAAGAGGACGTTGGTACAAAATGTGGCTTATTCAATATAGAAAAGATTGGAGATGAGTAAGTCACCGAAACCCATAATACTTTAGTTATTGGTTTTACAAATCTTTATTCTTACAATCTATACTTATTGTTTTTTTAGGTATTTCAGTTTTCTTGTTAAATGTGAAAATCCGAAAGCATGCACGATTTTGCTTAGAGGGCCATCAAAAGATATCCTAAACGAAGTAGAACGCAACCTTCAGGATGCAATGTGTGTTTCAAGAAACGTTTTCTTTAACCCCCTACTGGCTCCTGGTGGTGGTGCAACCGAGATGGCTATAAGTGTCAGGCTATCCGAAAATTCTAAGAAATTGGAAGGAGTGGAACGATGGCCATATAAATCGATTGCGGAAGCACTAGAGGTTATCCCTAGAACTTTAATTCAGAATTGCGGTGGCAACTCCATTAAAGTTTTAACGCAATTAAGGGTAATTTTCAAAGGCGCGATATTTTAATATAAGTTTACAAATTTACCATGATTCTAAAAAATTTTCATATAGGCTAAACATGCTACCGGTAATCATACATGGGGAATTGATGGTATTTCTGGGAATATTGTTGACATGAATGAATACGGCATCTGGGAGCCCAACGCCGTAAAAGTTCAAACGATTAAGACTGCCGTTGAGGTAATTGGATTGCTCGAGAACCTCCTGTTTGTGTATCTATATTATTAACTGTTCCATTTCTATTATAAAAGGCTGCTTGCTTGCTTCTTCGAGTAGATGATATTGTATCTGGTGTATCAAAGAAGAAATCCGGAAGTGGTGGTGGTGGTGGTGGCGGGGCACCTGCTCCGCAAGATATGGAAGGCGAAGGTGAAGGAGAACCTGGGGAACGATAAAAGTTTGATAATTATAGATCTATTACATAATGTTACTTGACGGTTATTTATATAATTCCAAGTGTCAAAAGTGCAGAAATTTTAGCATACTTTAAAGAACTTACAGTAGATAAAAGTGAACTGCATTAAGCTGCAAGACAATCTTAAGTAGACATTAATAGAAAAAGTGGATATGTGGAATGTGTTATAATTTTGTGAACCATTAAAATTTCTCGTACTCTTAGTAAATATAAATTTGTAGGGACAACCTTTATTTAATGTCAGACTTTAATCAAATTTTGAAATTTCGTTTGAGATAGTTTCGCACTAATTGGTTGGTTTGTAGATTACGTATATGACTAATGTAGATTACAGGTGATAGTGTTGGGACGTATTAACGTATACAGTCAATCTCGATAAACCGCATTGAGTTCATTTGATATTTGTAGGTGTTAATTGTTTTATACATTTCTTCACATTAAACCTTGCTGAAACAAATTAACGATACACTAGTAAAAATTGTTATTATCTGATATTTCTGATTTTCTCTATAAATTGGACAATATATTGGTTTTTTGAGTGAAAAAAATCTTATTGAATAAAAAAATAAATTATAAAAATACAAAGTATCATAAAAAAAATATTAATTAATTAAAAAGTATATAGAATAGGTTTTAAAATAATATAATCAAAAAAATCTTTAATTAATTTAGTTATAATACTTTGGATATCCAGAATTCAATAGGTTAATTTTATAAAAATATGATTTAGAAAATCTATATTTAACAATAAAATAATGTGACTTTGAGATCTTCAAAGTTTTATAGAAATATAATTTAAAAAAAAATAATCAGTAATATTGTTTTTAATAAAAAAAATTGTATATAAAAGTTATAAGCATTTAAAATTCAATAGTTTTTTTATGTTTTTTTTCTAAATTGAAACAAATTATATGAGTTTTAATTATATAAATTGAATTTCTTAAATAATATTTGTTTTTACTTTTTATCAACATTAAAATAATAAAATTTTAAAAAGATTTCAATTGTTTTCAAGTGAATTACAAAAATTAAATAAATTTTTTATTCTTAAGTAATTAATAAAAAATATATATAACAAAATTTTATTATAAATTACTTAAAATAAGAAGATTATAAAATGCTTTTAAAACTTAAAATATTTAAATTAAATTAATAAGTTTTAATATTTTATTTTAAAAATTGAATTTCAAGATTATTAATTTATAAATTTTAAATTTTTAAGACATTTAAAAATTTTTTTGTTATAAGTAACTTATAATAAAATTTTGTTTATATATCTTTTATTAATTACTTAAAAAGAAAAAATTAATTCAATTTTTTGTAATTAGTTTAATACTAATTAAAATCTTTTATATATTAATTTTTATAGAAAAATATTAAATACAAAAGTTTATTTAATATATATATAATATTCAGATTATATCAAATATATATTTTTTTTTTTATAGTAGAACGGGCATTAGATGCCATTGTTTATTGATATATATACGATATCACAATTACATCAAACATCTTCTATAGTGCTAGACTACAGCTTAATGCTAACCTATTCTACTCTTAATGCCCCAGCGATACAAGTGCCACTCTTGAAGTGGACTTGTATTTTTGGGGGGGATCTATCTAGGGGGTGGAAATCCTACCACTAGTTTTAAACCATCCAACCTACCGGTCCAATTTTTGATGGGCGTCGTGGGTGGGTTAGGTATCACTAACTACTTTTATAAGCTATCTATTACGTATCACCTTTTCACTCACAATGCCATGCCATAGAGGGTGCCTTTGATGCAAGCATGCACTCCCTAGTGAATGCTCCGGTTTTGACCACTGGTTGGGCACTACCAAATCTAGGGGCCTTATGGCCAACTGGGGCGTAACTCCTTAAGGGTCTAGTCTATCAATGACAGACCGACGCTCCTTAATCTCCTAGTAAACAATCCAGATTTCAAACCAGTTGGCATATGCTGCCAAATCTAGGGGCATAAATGCCAAGCAGGGCGCAACTCCTGCATGCTCTGTCTCACCACATGGCTGCCATATCTGCACATGGGCACGTGTCAGTTCAGTGGTCTTCTTCAAGATATCCTTACTTTAGTAGTTAATGAGAGAACTTGGCGGCTTGGGATTGGTTAATGTACATCCAAATGTGTGGGTGGTTCTATGGCTCCTTTCGTAGACAATCATCGTAACACCATCCGGACGATCGTCACACTACTGCACCTTAACGGGAAATCACAATCTCAACGCCTGCCGGATTGACATGTGAAATGGCTTCTCATGAGAAACAGCACTTAATTGGTTACGGTGCCAGATACCATATTAATTCTGTTCAACCGCCTTCACATGGGATTGAACCAGTATCTTGTGATCTGACCTGTGGAGCACTAACCACTGTGCTATAGATCCACAGGTTTAGATTATATCAAATATCTTTATATAGTAAAATATATAAATTAATATTAATCTATTAATAATAACTCTTTTCGCTAATCCCCTTGCCAATCCAAAAACAGACGTTCTCAAAAATATTTTTTTATTTTTGATAATAAAGTCTATACACTCTCTTTAAAAAACATTACTACCTAAAGGCAGGTGCCTTCTCCACTTGTTTATTCTTTTTTCTTCGAAAAACTTTGGATATTTCAATGACAAAATAAACAAAATTTTACCCATCTGATCTACGGCAAGAACACCTTACTGAGAAGAAGAAACCTGTAAAAAAATACCCTCCACTATTTTCTCCAAAGGTCTGAAAATCTAGAAAGTAAACCACTAGTAAATGCATTTTCTAAGCTCCATAAAAACCTTAGGTCCACCATAAGTGAATACCTTGGTCTTAAGGCGGATGGATAAACTAGTTGGTGCCTACCAAGTGAATGTATTTCCCAAGCTCCATAAGAACCTTGGGTCCACTATAAGATTCAAAACTCCTGTGGTCCAGGTGGGTAGATAAGTTAATAGGTATCTATAGTTCTGGTATATGATCCTCTCTCATCAATCATATATCCTGCATAGTACTTTCAAGCATGTCAAAATTTTCTTGGTTTTTTCTGGGGAATTTTGCCTACCTCAGTTTGACCCTGAATTTTTTGTTACACCGGATTCTCTGGTTGGTGATTGGCTGAAATCTTGGATTGGTTGATCGACAAGTAAAAGAAATGTAAACAAGACACGTACCCACACGTGCCCCGCGTCGTACCACATTATAACTGATGATGTAATTGGATATAGCGAAAGAGCAAGGTGTCGAGGTGCTCTCTTGATAAGAAGTATTTGGAAGTCTTCCCCTTCCCCTCTTGTACTGGTTTTTTTCTCCTCAAGATCAAGGCTCTTATTAGGCTGATGGTGTTGATGGGTTTTTATTTTACCAGTGCAAACCTTTTCTTTTCCTTTTATTTTTCCCTTTTACCTTCTTGAAAAAATAAAAATTTTTTATACCTTAGGACCACAGAGGTTAAGTTGGGGTAAACAGTTTTGATAAAGGGCTGGCATTGATATTGAGAACCATAAGAATCATGGGTCAAGATAGAACAACTTTTTTCATTTCCCTTAATCACATCTAGAGGCCAGTGGCTATTGACGGGTGTGCCGTATATATTTCAATAAGTTAACCTTTAGTATAATTACGACTGGTACTATATGTATCTACTTTTTGTATCTCGGGTAAATCCCGGCAATGAATGCAAATAAACTTGACTATACGGTCTAATTAGGTGTAAAAAAAAAAAAAAAAAAAAAAAAAAGTAATAATGTATCATTATTGCTTATATAAAACAGATATTGATCCAGAATATGTTAATTTGTTTAATTATTCTCTAACAAAAGAAAGAATTCCAAAAGAGAGCATAAAATAATTTCAAAATAGATCATATATTTTATATAATAATATTATTTATTCTAAATCAGAATTTCAGAAATTGGAATTGGTATACCATGAAGTATATATAAAACTTGATGAAACAAAGCTAGATAAATTAACAATTTTTATTTATAATATATTTTCAATTATGTTTTTTTTTATATATTATTATTTTTTTAAAACTAATTTTTCTAAGTAAGAAAATTAAATTAATGGTGGGAATTTTATATACAAAACAACGTTTGTATAATGAAAAACCTATTCTTGATTCCAATAAGTTCAAAAAAATACTTGAGAATACTGAACCATCGTTATAAGGTTTTTTTGATCAATTGGTAACTGGAACAAATCTGTGAGCTAAGAACCACATGACTAATAAAAAAAATAAAAAAAGATTGGTTTTATTTTGCTATTTTCTTGCAAGTCTTAATAACAAATTTATAAATGGTATTAAGGTTAAGGTAAGACTTTTGTTAGATATATTTGATATATCTTTGTCAGTAATTGAAATCTTGGCTGGTATAGACCTAACAGTAAAGCATGAAACTATTACAAAACAGAAGACATGGCATATATAAACATATATGAAGATAGTAAAGGTATTTTTAATAGAGAATATAAGTATTTAAATAATTAAAATTATTAAAAAAATTTTTTTTTATTAAAATTTTTTAATTTTATTAATTTATTTTAATTAATTATATATATACAGTAGATCAAAAATTTAATTGTTTTAAATATGGATAATTTTTATAATATTCATAAATCTCATTGTAATGATTTAACTACTACATTTGATACTGCATATTTTATTACAATACTTTTAAAAGCCTTGCCAGAAATAATCTTAATTTCATTTAATAATTCCAATCAAGAAAGAAGTATCCATAATAAAAGTGGTATTAAATCAAGTATTATTATCAAAAATGTAGATTCACTTTTTTTTCCTAATTTATGACTTAGTTATATGGGATGAAAAAATGTGTTTTTTGATTTATCTGTGCAAAAAACTTATAATAA